AGGGGAGGTGGAAAAGCAGGGACCTTGCTAACAGGTTTATTGGCAAAAACTCACGCAACAGGTAAGTCTGTCAGCTTGGGCTTGTCAAGCCGACACCTCTGATGCAGCCTTTCGTCGCTTCCGGGCATGAACCCAGCCCCAATTTGCCCCCACTTGCCCCAACTCCCCCTAGGCAATCACATGGAGGGTGAGGGGGGGCGGCGGGGGGGACGGGGGGGAGGGAAGGGGCGTTGTCCACTAGCCCAACAACCCAAAGCTACCGGGTTCACCCACGAAACCCTGAACCCATTAGCTCAATCAGAGGGCCACAGCGCTTGGGTTGACGGGTTCACGGCTCCTCCCGAGCGCTCTATGCTCAGGAGTTCGGGCCACAAGTTTATGGCAGCTTGCTTTCTAATTTTCAGACATGCTCTACAAAAGCACGGGTAGGGGGGGGCAGACGATTTTACCCGGTCTGACTGCCCCAAGCACTAGCAAATCCAGGCAAGACCGGAGATGCAGCGCCATGCAGCGCCCAAACGCGCCCAAGATGCCTGGAGCACGGACTCCTCTCAGTCCAGGCTGGCCTGGGCGCGCCGCGCTGGGCCTCAGGTTTGCTCGGCAACATCCACAACATGAGCAGCGGATAGCAGCGGCGTAAGCCCCGTGAACCGTTTATGCGCTGACATGCGCGTATCCTGCGTAAATTGCGCTGAACCTTAGAGCCCAAGACCTCCAAATGGGCGAGATCCCTCAGCGCTAACCTATATCTTAGAGGTTTGGAATCTGAGAGTTGGCCAGTAATTTGTGGGCACATGTGGGCAATATTGGGCAGAAGATGAGGAGAGGATGAGGAGCTAGAAGTGCTTGCAACTTAAGTTGCTTACGTTGTTTGTTCCCTACTGCCGTACGAAGGGGCTGGCCTTTGCTGAACAAGCCTCCAGAAAGGAGGGCCGGCCCTGGATGCGGGGACGAAGGCGATAACGGCGCTGCGGCGCTGCAATTTGCGGGTCAAGCTGCGATTTCTTCTACAAGAGCCACCAATGCTCAGCGTTGCTCTGGCAAACGCGGCGCATGTGTTGAATAAAGGCTGGGTAACCAATAAGCTACCTGTTGCTGACGCGCGGAGCTCGCGAAGATGACGCGGATTTCGCGGATGGTCTTCTGGGCAGTCCGATGCTGATAGACTTACGAATCCCACAAACGTAAACTCTGAACCTGGACAACCCTCCGAACCTGCTTGACTCTTTCAACCCTCCAGCGACGTTGCCCTCCCAAAAGCAAGACTTGCTTATCCCGACTTGGGCGACAAGTTCTGATAATTCACCCCCAGCAGCTTCACACCCCGATGAGCAAGACGGGCGCTCATCCCTAACTTGGGAGACAAGCTGGGACTATTCCCCCCGCCACCTCAATATGCAAGACTTGGGCTCATCGTCGTGCTCCTTGAGATGTCTCACCCCCTAACCAAAGACCGCATCCAGCAAACTAACCAACCCTGAACCCTAAACCCTAAACCTCAACCCATGCGCAACAAGGGCCCCCTCCTACACGTAAACCATCAAAAGCCGTAGCGCTGCCCAGTTGCGCGCGTCTCGCGCACGGCATGCGCAGTGGCGCCCTCCCTGTCGAGACGGGCCCAGCGACCCACTGCAGGGCGGCCGCGCTCGGGCTCCACCTGCGTCGGTCCCCAAAAACCCGCACCCTTCCGAATGGAGCCCCACACTGTCGCACCCTACAAAGCCCTGCCACTTCGCATGATGCGTTTTCGGGCCTGGGCTGGCAGGAAGCCGAGGATGCCCTGGCGCACCTTTTGCCGCATCTTGGCTTGCTCCTGGAGTGAAGGGGGCCAAGCTGTAGGTGGGAGCGTCTCAGATTCTCTGTCAGCCACGTGTCCCGTGCTCTCAGTGTTCCTACACAAACGACAACTTGGCGGAGCCTAAGTACACACCATTCACGCACATGGACCCTCGGAGTGAGGCTTCAGAACCCTAAGCCCTAAACTTTCCTAGTCAAAAAACCCCCTAAACTCTGAACCCTAAACCCCGCTGCCTTGAAGCGAAAAGTTCTTCACCATCTTCATGGACACTGCCAGTGGCAGGCATGACCCAAGGCTGTAAGTCCTTTAGGGGCCTAAGCCTAAGCTCGAAGCCCCAGAACCCTATCTGCACCTCCTGGTTCAGAAGGAGCTGAAGGCTCAAGTAGCTTGAGCCAAAATGGCTACGGTGAAAGCGTTATTTTTCATGGGAAAGATATATGTATACATAACGAAAAATCATTGTTTATGAATTAACGAACAACTTTTGCACTTGTGCAAATACTTGAATAACTTTCATGTATATAATTCAAATTGAATAGCAATTCCTTTGTCTTTATTAATCTTCTGTTCACATATTATCGTTTCATTGATATTTAATTTTTTAAGTTTATATTCGACTGTTTTCTGATTTTTTCACATCCTCTTTTTAATGATCACATATATTGACATATTTGTTATATATATATAATAACTAACATGACTCTCTGCATTTTGTATATGCATCATAACATTGTTGCCAGAATTAATTCTTTAGTAGAAAATATACTATTTACCTCTTATCTCTACATAACTCATATTTGAATATCATTTGGTTTAGCACTATTGCTATATCTAATAAACATAATGCAACATCAATTTCTTATCAGAAAAATTTAGTACTATATCTAATATTCTTAACGGTATGGCAACATCTAAACGTTCTATATTAATTCATGGACCCTGAAAAATATACATGTTGAAAATATAGGTTCTGCTATTGTTGTCACTTGTTCACGTAGTAATATAAACCTACGATTTCAGAATTGTTCCACTATTGTTCTTAAAGAAGACCGCGAACAATAATATTAGATCGTCTATTTGTTTTTTACGAGAATTGCATATTTTCCATTTTCACTATACTTAATACTTTTGCTTTTGTATATTCCCAAACCATTTGATGTTAAATTCTATTATTTTCGATTTTGCGAACACTTTGCTTTGTATATCTTTAAGTTCTTTATTATGCAAACTGAAGCAATTTAATTTTTTGATAGTTCATCGTAAAATGAAAAATTATCATATTCATTCTAATATGTACCTATTCAACCACAATATATACAAATGCACATTACTGTTTTATAATAAATGGAATATGATATCACATGGTAGTATTATAGATAGATACAATATTGCTAATATACTCTTAATAATGGTAAAGCAATTCTAACAGATATTAACACAAAGGAAAATGAAACAAATAATCATCTTAAAAACTAAACGGTTGAAAGGCTTTACAGTGGAAATATCATATGAGTTTTCATATGTTGATATCGAAAATCGAGTATTATAATATAGTGGAGAAAAAACACACACACACACACACACACACACTATTATGACTACTTTATAGATGTATATTTAAAAGTGAAACAGTTCCAATATTCTATTTTTTCTAGGCTGTAGAACAATAATGACAGCAATGTTAAAACTGTTGAATCTCTATCTGATAAAAATCATCTAGACTTTGAATCCATTGTATACTTATTTACTTTAGCATCTTTTTAAGAATCGTGTATGAAAGGTTCTGTTAGTTCTTCATAACAATACAATACACAAGATCTTAAAAACATATATGAATACATTGTAAGTTCATTTGTTATTGCAACTATATTGTCAATCTTACCTCATAATGGTTCATGTGCAGCGAAATGCGTCTTATTATTCTTCTTTACAAATGTATTCGTACTCTCTTCCATGATGATATTGTGCAGCGCTTCTTTAAACAAGTGAAAAAAGTTAAAATATGTCTTTGCTAAACCTTCTCTATTTTTCAATATATGTATTAAAGTATCATGTTTTATGTTTCAAAACTGTTTGTTCATTTTACGAAAACATTCTCAATAGTATTGAAACCTGGCAAGTAAGGTCGTGTATAAGGTAAGTGAATATTACTGTAGTATGTTTACAATAGTGTTAAACATTTTGCTATGATGACATGAACCATTGATAATTTAAAAAATCTTAAACATTCAGATTAAAAGCATGACTTCCTTGTTTTTGTAACATTGCCGTGAAATGCATGCTGATTTGCAAGCTTGTCTATATTCTGTTTAAAGAGATTTGAATAAACTTGTGAAAAATATTCTTCTTGTAATAATTCATAAGAAGCCTTTTTTCTATTATCGATGGCACATAACAAACTGTCTTTTCATTGTGTCTTTCTATTCTTTGTGTGTTAAACCGAGGCCAGAATGCCCAATCCCCAATCCCTGAACACGCAAACAACCCTCTTGAATCATCATTAGACACAAACTCTGATTCCTAATCCTGAGCTCTACAAACCCTAAGCCCTCAACCCATCTTCCGCCTCATTGCGAGATCCGCAATCCCAAGCCAGAGCTCTGGTAAAGCTTCACCACACCCCCCCCCCCCCCCCCCCAGAGTATTGCAAGCACACGCCCACGGGGTTTCTTTAAAGGGTCTCTCAAACGTCCGCAAACCTAAGGGCTTTTTAAACCCGAAGTGCCCAAACCTGGAGGAGGGTCTTCAGGCTCAACGCCTCCTTTCAAATGAGCCTCTCTTGAACACTAAACCTTGAACCCGAGAGCAACTTAACCCAACGGCAACTCCAGAGGAGCCCTTGATGAGGGAATATGGGGCCACTGCGATTTAAGGTTTAGGGCTTCGGGTTTAGAGTTTGTTGGATTTAGGGTTTAGGGCTTAGGGTTTAGGGTTTAGGGTTTGGGTTTTGGGTTTTGGGTTGTGGGTTTTGGGTTTTGGGTCTTGGGTGTAGGGTTTAGGGCTTAGGGTTTAGGGTTTTTTGAATTCATAAAGAATATTGATAATATTTTCATGAAACATTGCAATACATTTGGAAAAAATCGCGATGGTAATTATAAACATAATCAATTGAAAATATAATTAATGTACACGTACAAAGATGACAAAACACATAATATGCTCCCCATGCTCCCCTGGATCATTCTGACACCAGGGCCCTCACATCGATGGTGGTTCTGGGAGTCTGCTTCTCGATGTCGCTGGCCAGCTTCCTTTAGGGTTGAGGGTTTAGGGTTTAGGGCTTAGGGTTTAGGGTTTCGGGTTTAGGGTTTAGGGTTTAGCGTTTAGGGTTTAGGGATTCGGGCGAAACATCCGTACATCACAAGCCAGAGGCTTTACGAGTAGTTGCGCTTACCATGCTTAGGGGAGACTAAAGCGATGTCATGAAAGGCTTTGAAGGACCCTGAATCCAATACGCTCTGAGACACTGGCTCGCAAGCATGCTTTCATTCGCAATGGAGGAAACCAGAACCGACGTCCAAAACCGGAACCACACCCCAAAACCCTAAAGCCTCCTTTCAAGCCTCCCTCATCCTTCAATGCACAGTTAGGGGAGGGAATATTTGCGGCTCTCAACCTCACCGGGAGCCCGCAGGCCCGTAAGGAATTAATATACCTTAAGCGTTGCAGGGGCCCTGAATGATGAAAGAAGCTGGCCTTTATCAATTGCAAGGTCTTGGGCTTTCTGCGCTCTTCAACCTCAAGCCCTAAATCCTAAAGCCCCGCTAAACCCCCTAAACCCTGCCTCAAGGAAACGACGGCTTCGGCAACCTTTCGATCGGAGGCATGTTCCGTCTTCAGCCTCTGACGCTTCGGTGCAGCGCATGTGTGGTAAGTGGGGTTTGGGGTTGACGACAGATGGCACCGTAGACGAAGGCTGCCCAAACGGGGACGACATTTTGTGGGAATGATGAAGATGGTCCACCCTCCCCAAACCTTAAACCCTAAACCCTTTTGCAGAGCTTGCGTTCAGGGGCTCTCCAGACATAAGCAGTTTTTTTGGCCCTAAAGGCCGAAACACAGGGCAGTTGCTGTTTTCGAGTAACCTGCTGAACTGCACGTTTCGGGCCCCTGTGTACCCTAAGCTCTGAGCCTTATCAACCCTAGACCCTCAAAGGTGGCAATAACATAATCAAAGAACACCCGTCCTAGTAATATTATGACTGTTCTGGCGGGGTAGATGCCAAACAGTGTAGGACCTCATCCAAGGGCCGTAGAAACAGAGGAAAGCACGCCCCTGCTACGCTTGCCCGATGCGGAAATCGGGCAATTTCGCGCTCGGAAGTATCCATTGTCGTACAACCCAGTTCAAGTACATGAATCAACCTGGACCACGGCTGAAACGTTGACGACATCTGGGTCATTCTTAGTGACGACCGACAAATATTGAGAACACACATATCTGTGTGTATATGTATATATACACAATGTATACAGAAGCGAGCAAAGCAGATGTCATATCCTTCTTCATGATAACCATGAAAACAGTACCAACTAACTAAAAGTCAACTGCATATGATTAAAGCCATAAACGACACAATCATGAAGCTGAAAATAGAAAACGAGCAATAAGCGACTTGAAGTACGCCAGGCCTCTGGAGCCGACGCTCGAGCCTGGCGGCTCGGTCGGCGGCCTGTCAGGAGCTTAGGGGGTTTAGGGTTTCGGGTTTAGGGTTTCGGGTTTAGGGTTTAGGGTTTAGGGTTCAGGAGTTTAGGGCTTAGGATTTGGTGGTCTTGGGGCCTTCAGGGGCCATAAGGTGAAGGGCTAAGGGGGTTTAGGGCTTCGGTGTTTTGGATTGGGTGGTTTGAAACGGGGTGGGGTCTAGGGATGCCTAGGGCTCTTTTTTATTGCGCTGTGGGTTAGTGCTGATGCGCTTCCTATAGGCTTGAGTACCCTGGTTCTATGGCTTTGCAAGTACAACACCTTTCATTGAGATGGATGGTATCTTACCACTTAGAGGACAGAGTACAGGCTCAACACTTCGCTCCTTTGTTCCAAGTCAGTTAACCCTAGAAGCTTCTCAAGCCTTTTAAGGCTCCAGGGCAAGGGTGTGAACTCCGCGGAAAGCTACCTCGAACAGGTGGGTGTCTGCGTGGAATGATGCCTCGCTAGGCCATTGAAACATGACAAGTGTTGATTTTCTACAGGGCTCTTTGTAAAAGCATCCTCACATAGCTACATTGTATAACAGGATTCCTTTAAAGAATCCCCAATTCGAGGCGTGCAACATCAGCCCGAACCGAACACTCAACAAATGTTTCCCGCAAAGAGTCCGGTCTGGGTGCCTGACTCGCAAAATTCCGGATTCTGTAGCAAGGTCGGGGGTGCGAAACATGATGCACCCAAATCCATACCTCAAAAAGCCTCTTACTCCGTCCTTGTTTGATCGCTCACGGAGCTTCAGAACGAGTCGATCCCGGCAATCCTTGCTCACCTCGTTGGCCTTTATCCACCTGGATGTTGAGGGTGTCGAATTTGCAGGCACCCAGTAACCATCTTACAATGTGGGTACTCTTCTTGCTGGTGGATAGTCCTTAAAGGAACAAAAGCTTAAAAAAATCCAGACAAGAAGCAACAAGCGTCAGACTATGCCGGGATTTGAGGATTTGGAAACTCTGGAAGTACAGTAAACTGTGCAGGAAGTAGGGTCCGCCAACCGAGACCTTTCAACCTGCCTTGATGGATTGATGACATAAGGGTCTACACTCGTAAGCTTCGGCTTCAGAGCAGCAGGTTTGACATTCAATGATTCAATGTTGCGGCTCCCATGGATGTCAGGAGCTGGCATATCCCAAAACAAACACACAGGCGCTTGCTTTCCGCACCCCTTCCTGACGTGTTGACATACAAACCATGGTTTCAGCTTCTCGCTGGGGCGTGCAAGTGGGAGGATTTACAAGTCGCGGTTGCCAGGAAGCTTCGGTGCAATAGAGCTGTTTCTAGGCCAGCTTCTCCCCATGTTCAAGGATTTGCCTTACAGGTCGGTCTCACACCTTTGAAGCAAGCCTGCAAAGATCTCCCAGGATTTCAAGACAACGTCCACCGTGCCAGCACGACCCAACATAAGGGGTATTTCTGATCCTAATGCTACCCCCGTAGTACAAGCATCCTACCCCGATCCGATGTCTTCAAAGCTAACCCCAAAGACAAACCTAGATCCCGAAGGCCAAACTGTGGGCCGAGAGACAGCTTGTGCGCACTCTGAATGTCGCGGTTTTCCTCAAGGCTTTATGAGGAGAAGGTGCCTCATAGGGTTTAGGCTTACTCGGTTCGACTGAGGATACCGAGCCCTAGAGCCCTGAATCCCCAACCCTAAACCCCAAGCGGCCCGAAACCATACAAGTAATGCCAGAGGAGGATCGCTTTCCAGCAGCGCGAGCGTCTGCAGAAATCCGTGGTTGGGCATGGCCTGGTGATGCTTGCAAACACTTTATAGGGCTTTTTTGGGTGGTTTCGGAGTGTAGACTTTCGGGGTGTAAGTTTTAGCTTGGATTCTATGGCGAATGCTTGGGCTACAAAGTACTTAATTACATACTCTATTGGGTCGAAGTTTCTGCTAATTAGGGTTTAGGGTTGTGGCCTTATGGGCATTTTCGCTGTGTCTACATTGGGCAGGCACCCCTGCGTCGGGAGGACTGTGCACGGCCTAAGACAACCCCTTCCGAAACCCCCAAAACCCGAAAGCCCCAAATCATTAAGCCCCCTGCAATCCACCGAAGAGCAGGCACTTTGGAGGGAGAATAGGGCATCATCCCCATGAGACAATAACTTGAGTAGTTCTTGTAAACATAAATAACATGGATAAGAGCAATAATAACATGGATAATAATAGCAATAATCATAGAAGCTCTAAGCCAGAAGCCCTACACCCTGATGGCCCCGGTTTGCGCTAGCCGGCCTGAGGTCTGGCCTTCTTGACCTTAGGCAGGGCGGGGTGTTCCCACCCTAAACCTATAAACGCTACGAGCACTGTACACTGCACTACAAGCGCCATAAACCCGTAAGCCCTGAAAACCATGTAGCATCTATGGTTTTAGGGTTTCGGATTTGCGATTGGGGTTTAGAATTTGGTGGGGAGGTGTATGCATGGGTAAGAGGTTCAAACCGCACTGTTTCCGCTCTCGAGGGCGCACTGGCTTCAACATCCTCCGGGACTTCCCGGCCAACATCCCTTCCAGGGCTTAGGGCTTTCAACCCAGCATCCCCGTTTAGGGTGCAGGGCTTCTCACCACCATCTCCTTTGTAGGGTTGAGGCCTTGGGATGCTTCTTTTCGGTTCAGGGCTTGCAACCCAACATGTCTGTTTAGGGCTCAGGGCTTCCCACGCAGTCTTGCTTTCCCATGCCTTTTACATGGTTTAGGCCTTCGCGATTGGAGGTGTTAGGTACGGATGTTTTTTCCCTTTTTTCGGGCTTCGCGTCTCTACGACATGTGCAACCTTCAGAAACACAGCGCACGCGGAACCAAAACGAAAAAGCGCACCGTGGACCTCTTGCGTTCCACGACCGGCTGGCAGAAGCGAAAAGGACATGCAGAGGATGGAGCCAAAACAGCAAACCCTCGACAACTAAAACAATGTGCCCTCACGTAGGGGCGGCCTAGACTCATCCCTATACCGCAACTCCTAATTATCCACCTACACCCTAAACTCCAAGCCGAAAACTTAAAACCCTCAAGCAGCAACACAGGACCTGATTACCAAGGACTATTCCTGCTGGTCATGTGCAATGACGTACGAAGTTTGGGAGAGGGCAGCATCGGGATTGCGTACTATGGTATGCGAATTGCAGTCCCATGTGACAAATCCGAACCTTGAAGGCCTCCAAGTACGAAAGCAATTCTTGGGTCAAGCATTGGGCGCCTCGATGTTATTCGGATTACAACTTCTGCTATCATCTGCAATGAAGAGTAGCAGAGGGGCCGCAGCCGTTCGTCTGACTAACAGAATATCCACGGAACAACTTCGGCGATCAGGGGGAATCAAAACCAAACCAAGTTTGCAGGGTGCATGAATTCGAGAAATGTTGGGGGGGAGGGGGTGGGGGCCTGGCTGATTCTAGTTCTCGCCCCCATTTTCCGGCCCCAACTTGCCCCTAAACCCTTCTACCAGTCTGCACTCCGGGAGCCGATCCTCCTCCAACAACCCCAACAGCCCAAAAGACCACACCCATCAAAGCGAGCGCTACCAGTATAACCATGGAACTAATGACAATAAGAACAGCAATCATTCTTCGGAAATAAATAACAAATATGATTATCAGAATTCTGTTGATACCCCCTGAAATGTGGCGCCGGGTGGCCAGAGCCTGCGCATCCTTCAGGCTCATGGCCTGCAAGGGCGTGACAAAGGCCAAGAAAGGGTTTGTTTTGTAGTTTGGGTTTGAGGCTTCAGGATGTTTAGTAGTTTAGGAGTTTAGGCTATAGGGCTTAGGGACAGGACGTTTAATATTTTCAGGTTTCTAGGGTACAAGGCTTTCTGCTTGTACCGAGGAAACTGTATACAAACACAAAGGGACGTTACCCTGAATCTTCGTAGGCAGTCGAGCTCAGTCCTCCACCAGACTGCAGACTCAAAGGCAAACGAAACATGGAACCCCAAGCACGAAAACCTAAACCCTAACCCCTAAACCCTAAACCCGAGGGGGTTTCGAGGGTTCAGGCTCGGCCGGCCTTGACGATCATGAGCCACGCCACGCACACGGACACCGAACGGCTAATTCCTGAGGCGCAGTGCCTCGGCTTCTGCGGCGTGCGAGCTGTTTCTTGAGATACTTCTAGTTGGGAATTCGGACGGGGGGGCCTGCAATGATAGTGGTGCATGCTTCTTTGTTGTTGGGGTTTAATGCGAAAACCCCAAATCCGTACCAAGAGCCGGTAAGTGTAAGGCTCGAATGTAGGATAGACAGGAAACAGCGTGCTTCTTACTGTGGGTAGCTGACTAAACTCTAAACCCTGGAGTGTGCGAACTCGGAACCCTAGAGTGTGCGAACTCGGCTAGAACTTCTTCTCCCTGGACTACCTGGACCCATTGCTGCTAGCATAGATGGCAAGGTTGCCCAGTAACGTCGGAATGGCAACAAAAAGGATGCCCTTCTTTGGGCTTGATGTGGTTTATAAGGGAAATCTGACCGCTTGAAAAGGGAGCAAAGGGACTAAGATGTCGAGCGCCTTGATTTGTTTGCGTCTGTGGTGCACGAGGATTGAAGGACCGTCGTCCGCCTCCCTGCAGGAGGGCGACTTCAGGGCTAATGGTTTGGGCTCTTGCATTCTGCAACACGTGCAGCACAAGCCACGGCGTCTTCGGCAGGTAAAACCCTTAGACCTTTTGAACCCTAAATCCTGCTTGTGCTCCTGTCTCAGATCCCGAATCTTTGATCTTCTAAGCCTGCGAACTTTGACACGGATCCCCTGCCTTTGCTTCAGGATCCTGTTGATCTCCTCTGCAGCTCTCGTTTTTTAAGCTTGGGGTTGAGGTCGTCTCAATTTGCAGGGATCGGGGATGAGGGTTTCTGGTCCCACGGCACGAACACACATTCTCATAATCTTCATCTCAGCCTGGTGCAGCTACTGTAGCCCGGTTACGGGTTCTAAAAAGAACTTGTCAGCTGGGCTTAAGGGCTTACACTATCTCAAACCTTGAAGCGAAGCCCTTGACCCCCAACTGCCCTGAACTCTACGCCCAAAGTCAAAGTACCACAATGAGGTTGCCCCAGCGTCCTACACAAAGGTGCCTTCCTCTGAAGGGTTCCCTACTCCGAAGGAGGGACCAAGGCTACTTCTCACGGGCATCCTTAGCTACTAGCCCAAACGACGCTAGCCAAAGCACAAAACAACAAAACCAAAGTCTGTCAGAGGAGGGTTTTTTCTCCAAACCCTGACCGATCCCTTGCTGACTCACCTATATAGGTTCCCAAGAAATGGAATCCTTTTGGGCATAGAAGGGAACCACCCCTTAAACGGAGAGAAAGGGTCACCGACCACCGGCCAAGTGCTTCGCGATTTAGCGGTTAGGGTTTAGGGTTCAAAGATTTGGCTTAGGAGTTTAGGTTTACCTAGAACCTGGAAAAATCAATATTCCTTGAGCAATATGCCCAGTAATTAAGGTCGATGTCCCTGTTTACTATAGGTTGCTCTCCGTACAGTTTACGGGTCTGCACGTCATACTCCAAGCAAAGTGTGGGCACCTTGATAGCGCGAGGGAGAACCTCCAACAGGTCGGCACACGGGTGATCCTGCACAGAGTAGGGTGTCAGGGTTTAGGTTTAGGCTTTCGGCGTTGGGGGCTTCAGGCTTAGAGTTTATGGAGCTTCAACTGAAAATAAACATTACCCGTATCACGCAGGTGTGCGAGCACAACGGTGTTGTCGACAAGCTTTGTTACAAGTGTCTTTGCCTATACGGGTGTGAAGAAGAGCGCGTTTTCTTTTGTGGTCTTTCCCACTCTGCCTACTTGC